GGGACCAAGCGGAGCCTCTAAGAGCAGCGATGGGCGGTTCCGGGGTCACCTGTGTTCACGCCGGAAACATCCCCTGCCAGCCTGTTCCTGGCCGTCCCCCCGGGGGCCCCAGGCCCCCCACTTCCTTCTCTCAGTTTCCAGAACGGAGAACATGTTCTCTCGCCTCAGAGGCAGACACAGGAAGTGGGAGGGGGAGCCCTGCTCAGCACAGAGCCCGGCCCCGGCATCCGCATGGCTGACCCCACCGGCTGCTGCATCAGTGGAACAGCTCCAGGCTCGAACCCGCTCCCTCGTGGACGTGGCTCTACCGGACCCACTGCAGCATCTCAGCCTCTCCCAGGAGGCACGGCTGCCGTCACCAGAGCGGGGTGGTGGGGGGGGTGCCTCGCGGGTCAGCCCGTTTCAGGGGCGCAGTGGGGGGCCTGCACGCCCTGCGGAGCCCACAGCTCACAGTGACAAGCAAGACCCAGAGACACGGCGTGCTCATTGCGCTCGGTCACACACACGAGCAGTGATTTGTAGAGTCACCGAAATATCTGTTTATCTACTGGAAAGCGACCTGAAAGCCGCACTCCGTGGGTGCTGGTGCCCCACTGAGCGATGGTGGAGAGATAACCCACCGCGAATCCACGCGCCCCCCTGACGGCAGGTTGGGGGGGGGGCAGAGGGCCTGTCCGCTGACTCACTGGCTCCCGTGACCCAGATGCGGGTCCTTTCGTTCTGTGAAAGCGACGTGAAAGCCGCACTCCGTGGGTGCTGGGGCCCCACTGAGCGATGGTGGAGAGATAACCCACCGCGAATCCACGCGCCCCCCTGACGGCAGGTTGGGGGGGGGGGCAGAGGGCCTGTCCGCTGACTCACTGGCTCCCGTGACCCAGATGCGGGTCCTTTCGTTCTGTGTCACGGGAGCCCGTGGCAGCTGATGAAGGCGCCACAGGGATGCGGGTGTGAAGGTGCGTTGGCGGCCACAGCGGGCGGCCCGGAGCCGGTTGACAACGCGAGGAGCACGGGCCTCCCCGGATGGCCCCGGCCTGGAGGGGAGTCCACGCTGCCGGTGCACACAGGCACCTCCCGGGGGCGCGGGCTGCTCAAGGCCAGGCTCAGGGACCACCTTGGGCAGAAGGGCCTCGAAGGCCTCAGCGAAGTGCACGCCACTCTAACCCCTAAGCTCATCCTCCCTTCGCTCCCAGCACGCCGGGTGCTTGGGCGTGGCCAGTAGGAGGGGCAGCGCTGGACACAGGTCCGCAACTCCGTCCAATGAGAAAGGTGCCGACCGACCTGCAGGGCCGAGGGCCTGGCCCACCCCAGTTCTAGGACCCAGGCTGCGGTGCCCACTTGCCAGGTGGGAATCCACTGAGCCCAGGGCCACGGTCACAGGGCTTCCTGCCCCCTCCTCAGTCACAGTGCTGCCCGCCCCCCC